AAATTCAGTCCACTTTACATCCTCACATCTGACCTTTCTTTGCTCAGCCCTTTAGAGTTTACCCGATAAACATTCTCGCTAGTAATTCATTCTCATTTACGAATAGCTAATCGATAATCTGACTACCCAGACTTGAAGCGTTCGTAGAGAGAGTATGACGCGTGTTCAAATGAAAGTAGAGAAGAGGGAAATGAGAAGTAGCTGCGACCTCGAGGTAACCTGCAATGCGGTTATGTTGGGGGGAGAAATGGAGTGCAATACATTCCATTTTAACAGAATTTTCCATGGAGAAGCAGTGCCACTAGAGTTCTTTAAAGGAACCTCTACTTTTTTTTTCATCTAAAGGCACGAGTACTCTCGGCACAGAAATTGATTAATTTTTTTGCAAAAGGAACTTCCACGCTTTCAGTAATGATATACGATATATATATATATATATTTCTAGGTTTTTCCTAGTTCCTACCTGCAGTAAAGAGTTTCAGAAGTCTGTCTTTTATGAAAATCTCATGAGAGTTTTATTTTAGTTCGGCTTAATGATGATCCTATAGGATTCCGTTTCCTTGGCAGCTGTAACATTCAGTTGTCTCTGTCGTCACTCCTATGCTTATTACCCAGCAGCCACTAGGGATGTTCGTGTGGGGACTGCCAGCACCTACATCATGATGCAAGTGAACAGAGAGAGACATAAAGTTCAGCGTTATTCTGCGTGAACAAATGACTGAATAGGTTGCAACCATTTTAATTGTTTACGAGAATTCAAAAAGAATATTAATTTTGTTTAACCATAAGATGTATATACAAATATTATGTTTATGGACATTATACGTCGTCTTGTCCTTTTTAAAACCGTCCTGTTTTTTTTTTTTTCAAAACACGTTTCGGAGATTGTGTTCTGTCTCCTTCTCCCAACAGAGTAGGTTTTACCTGAAGACGGAGACAGAATTCAGTCTCCGAAATGTTGTGTTTTATATAAAGACAAGACGATGGATAATGTCCAAAAACATAATATCGTATTTTTACTGAAATACCATCGTCACAATCTTTAGATCTTATAAGGCTTATGGATGGAAATTGCTAGGCAAGAAAGTTGTGTTTTGGTTGTAGCCGGGACAGCGCAGTCAGTATAGCGTCTGGCTACCGGCTGGAAGGCCGAGGGGTTGAAATTCGAATCTCGGTAGGGACAAATTTTTCTCTTCTTTAAGTCATCTAAACCGGTTCAAGAGCCCATTCAATTCCCTATCAAATGGGTACCGGGCTCTTTTTGCGGGGGTAAAGCAGGGGGGGGGGTGAAGTTGACTGCCCTCTTTCACCTAGTCCTGGGGTCAAGAATACGTGGATCTATGCAACCACTCTTCAATACGTCTCCATGCCGTAGTGTTTAATAGTTAAGTTACCTTTCTTGTTTTCATTTTAATTTATCTTTTCGTTCGTTTTTATCTCTTTAGTTACTGTTTAGTTTCTGTTTACCTTTGTTAATGGGTTGTTAATTTATTCTCTGTTTTTGGTACGTCATGTCCTGTTGATTTTATTTAGTTGTTTGTTAAATATATAAATAGAAAATGTATTTCGTTTTTACTTTCAGAATCTTTTCTCGTACTGCTGTAACTTCTAACGTAATGGAGTGTCATTAGTATCATGTATCTCATTTACTTTTAAAGACCTAATACAGAATTCATGATCACTACGAATTTCACGGACTAACAATTCGACTAGAGCAGTGATTTCGTGGACCGTACATCTTCCGATGTCCTGCGGATGTTTTCAACGTCTGTCTTTGTGTGCAACCTAAATGAACTGATTGACGGGAGAGTGGAAAGCTGACTAAACAGTAGCGGTAACTCGTCACTGTCAATATATTAAACAAAACAAACCAAAACTAAACCTTATAAGGCCATAACTGAGGTCGCGCTCTCGTTGGAGAGAATTCTATTTTAGCAAATCGCTTAGAGCTTTGTTTTACGTCTGTGGGTGCCAAAGCCCTGATATTCCCTCTTTTCGGGATTACGTGTGGCGTATTTTACTTTGACTGACATTATACTGTAGAGTGTAGAAAATTTTAGTTCTGTATGGGTGTGAAACTTGGTCTCTGACATTAAGGGAGGAACATAGACTGAGGGTGTTTGAGAACAGGATGTTGAGGAGAATATTTGGACCAAAGAGAGATGAAATCACAGGAGGTTGGAGAAAACTGCATATTGAGGAGCTTCATAACTTGTACTCTTCTCCAAGTATAATTAGAATGATCAAGTCAAGGAGGATGAGGTGGGCAGGTCATGTAGCACGAATGGGGGAGACGAGGAATGCGTATAGGATATTGGTGGGAAAGTCAGAAGGAAAGAGACCACAGGGAAGACCAAGGCGTAGGTGGGTGGACAATATTAGAATGGATCTTAGAGAGATAGGATGGGATGGTATGGATTGGATAAATCTAGCTCAGGATAGGGACCAGTGCAGGGCTCTTGTGAATACGGTGATGAACCTTCGGGTTCCATAAAATGCTGGGAAATTGTTAGTAGCTGCAGAATTGGCTGCTCCTGAAGTAGGGCTCAGCTCCATGAGTAAGTAAGTAAGTGTAGAAAATTATTTTATGACTTCAGGTTTAATAATGAGACGTGATCCGGGGTAGTCCAGTCTCTATAGCGACTGCCTACCGGCTGGACGAACGAGGGGTCGGAGTTCGAGTCCCGATATGGTCAGAATTTTCTCTAGTTCTTCCAAATATGCTCTAGGGTCCACTCAGCATCCTATCCAATGGATACTGGGGATTCTTCCCCCGGGAGTAAAGTGACAGGAGCGCGAAGTTTACCACTCACCTCCAGCTAATGTCAAGGTCAAGAAAATGTGGATCTATATAGCCACTCCCCCATACGCCTTCATAGCGTAGTGCTTAATTAGCTAAGCACAGGGACAGCATTTTTACTATTAAGCCTGAATATATCTAATTACAAATTTTACATTAAATGATTTTTGTGCATTGAACGTTAAAATAGTGTGACGACATGGTTACTTTATAGTCGTTCCTTCACTAAACCTGGAGGAAACACGTGTTTGGCTTCCAGAATAAAATGGCCGGTATAGCGTATGGCCCGCAGAACACTCTGGAACGTACAGATATAATTCCACCTATTACAAAATCAAACAGAACAAACTCCGTGGCTTGTAGTCCGCAAGCGAACTATACCGACCGAGCGACCGCCGCTTGTCTTCGATGTTAGTGCCAAATTTGAGGATAGAAGGGGTCACGTAGTCAGCGCAACCAATCTCCACGGCCGTTAATCTCGGTTTTCTTGACCGGAGCCACTATTTCCTTGAAATAGCTTCTCAATTATCCTCACTAGGTTAAATGGACCCCGTTCCAGACCCACTACTTCTCAGAAAATCTAGTAGTGCCGGAAATCGAACCCGGAACCTTTGGATCTGTAGGCAGGAACTCTGACAACAAGACCACAGGGGCGGTCATTCTACATATTACACAATTAGGAATTCATGATTGTAAATAAAGTTCCGATAAATATAAGTGGATTCTATTAGCAGAAATAATTTACTCAAATAAATAAAAGGGAATTGTGTCTCAAATAATACTGTTCATACTCAAATATAATATATATATATATATATATATATATATATAAATTCTCTCTTCTCTTAGAAAAGTATCTTAATTTTCCACAGGTACAAAACCACGGGGAATTTTTTTTGTATTCCTCTGGATATGAGTCAAGTCTCGTGACATAAAAACGATATATAGTATTTAGACCTACGTGCATGTGCACCTGAAAAGGCTAAATTTGTTTATTTCATTCTGTGAAAAGTCTAATAGAAAACTTTATATGACTACAACCCTCGGCTCTAGGACTCTTGTATATAAATACTGGTGCATACATTTTACATACTTGTACAATATTCAGCGTCTTGCTAGTGATACATTCTTCCTGCACGCAAATCAGGCAGGATGTATAAACAATACATTAAAGGCTCTTGTTATTAGAAAGGAAGACGTTTTTGCAAGTACCTTTCATTTTCAATAGAGCATGCGCGTTGTGGTTTTCAAAAGGATCAATTGCACTGCGTTTAAATCATGTATTGAATTCTTCATTAAAAATTCGGACATATATTATTGTTGCAGAATATTATATTTCAGAATATAGCGACGTATAGTCTGGTAGAAGTTATCGACGTTTCGGAGAAAAATACCGCCTTCATCTTCAACGTCGAAATGTGAGCCGGGGAAGCAACTAGCAAGTAGGGAGACTTGGTTATCACTGGAGCTGGCAGAACTTGCCACATGATAATTATTGTAGAGCTTCCAATCAGTTGATTATTACTTCTGGAAACCTGAATATATCTCTCCTGTTTTATGTATTTGATACCACTCCATGGATACAGAGAAGGAGAGGTGATGGGTAGTATAGCAGAAGAGTAGGTGAGAGTGAAAAGTCATGGGAGAACTGAGAGGTATTTTATTGCGTTGTGAGAATAACCACGATCTGTTATAAGATTCCCAGCCTTCGCCTGGTTGTTCTTCAGGTAAAAATAGCGTGAAAGTGAAGAATGACCAGACATAATTGTTTGAAATAAGGGCAGTGAAATTTTTTATTTTCTGAATTAATGTCGCATTGTGTACTTTGGGGAAATAACTTGGTGGCTTTGACACCGAATTGTCTTAAGTTGATGAATTTATGTATCAAGAGGGCTGCACGAGAAAGCATGCAGCAACAAGTTTGAAATTTGGAACCATCTCAGCATATGCCTAAACACAGGAGAAAACAAAGAAAATGTGTTCCAAGATAGCCGGTTACAGAAGCTTCCGGAAGCGTATTAACTTCTAGCGAGCAGTACGGCAAACAGATCAGTTAATCCAAAAGCGTGCATCTACAAATCACCATACACCACACAAGAGCACAGAAGTACGTTTATACCTTGAGAGGGGTTTAGACTGTAACACGAGAGGCCAATTAGTAAATATCTATAATGATTCTGATGCTTCTGTTGCATTTCAGGTCTGACAGAACACGTTCTTCATCCAAATAGACAAATTCAGCCAAGAAGTTCAGCACCTCGTTTGTGGAATGGCATTATTTTTCGTTCGAAGCTCATTATAAATGGTAAGTCCGACTGAGTTTTCTTGCTGTTCACAGATTTTTCAAAACAATTTTGAAAATTTCACCCTAGAATTACGAAATAGCTCAAGTCAAATATTTTGCTACTTGTAAGATTTGAGGTTTTCACTGCGGTGACTGTGAAAGATGCCGTCTTCTGGGATGTGGCATTCTTCATTTTGCTAATTATCATGGCATCTGGTAAATCCATGCGCATTACTTTGATATGGACTTGGCCCCCCCTGCCCTCAAAGCTTAATCGAGTTTCGGGTCATACCAATTAAACCAAAAAGACTCTCTCTTATTAAAGTTGTCTGAATTTTAAATATAATATAACTGTTAGTATTTTTATTAAATATTTATGTTTCATTCCATATCAGCTATTTGTTTGTTTACTTATACTTTTACTTTTATTCATTATTATTTCTTCTCAGTACTTACTTGTAATTTGTATGTGACTTTAATAAGTTTGTCTAGAATGTAATTTTTCTTCTGCACTGTGCTGTGTCTGTAATTGGCCTTGCGGCTGTTGACTCGGCACATTAATAATTAAGAATTGAATTATTTTTATTAATTTCGTTATTATTATTATTATTGTTATTATTATCATCATTTACTTGCTTGTTTGTTTACTTTTATTCATTATTGTGTTTACCCAAGAAATTGCCTGTAATTTATTTTTGACTTATAATGTGTTTGACTAATGTTTGTATAATGTTACACGTAATTACTTTCATCTACAGTGTGCTAAGTCTGTAATTGGCCTTGCGGCTGTTGACTTAGCACATAAATAATAAATAATTGAATTGAATTGAATTGAATACGGACAGATATCTATGACTCGAGTGGGATCCGAACCCACAAACCCAGTGTTCGAGCGGCTGAAGACTTCGTGCCTCACACCGCACGGCTACCTCACATAAACTAGCATTAAAAGAAAAAAATCTCATGCATTTTATTTCTGAACACGCACTATGTGTTTCGACCGTAAGCGATCATCATCAGGTATACAAAAAGTACTAAAATCCTTTACTGTATCTGTTGTGAAGAAATACGAAGGCTTTTTATGCAAACCAGTTTGGGCGTCAACTTCGTCAGCTCCAGATCCTGATTTTCCGGCAGCAGTAAGCTTCTGACGCACAAGCACGAGTAATGTGGACGCGCCGTAAGAGACAAGCTCTCTTTAGTGTATCTATATATCAGCCAAGCTACAGCCTTACACATACACAGACCACTGCCACAAGGATACACAGCACACTTGGTTGAAGTACTGGCTTTGCTGTCAGCAACACATTGCTCCTGCTACATACAGCACACTTCTCCAACACATCCACCCTTACCATCACAAGACATAGACTGTACTATACTTGACACACAACGTTGCCCACCAAACCAAAAGACTACTCCGAATATAAAACTTAATTAGCAGTCTAGAATTGTAATTTGAGTCGGATTGACCCGGGGTGAAATGTAAGCGGATGGGGAAATAAGTATAGCTTAAGGGCGTTAAGGGCCAGAAACATGTAAGAACACCTCAAGTAGATACGCCTTATAAATGTCCAACGAATTAGAAATGACAGTGGAATTGTATAGTGTGACAATGTAAAGCTTATGTCTATGTGAAAATTAAGTCGGGTCATACCTAATTTACTGCTATTCGCAATCTATTTTTTATACCTAAAAAACTTTGTATGTACTGCAGAGGATTTTACTATTATGTGTATTCAACCTGACGATGACGACTGTTTATGGTCGAAAAAAGTAGCGTATATTTAGAAAAAAGAAAAAGGGGGATTTTAATGTGATTACATATGACGGGTTATGACCCTGATTAATAAACACAGACAGGATAAAATACTCTAATATTAAAGAAAATATTTGATAGTTTAAAATGGCTCTTGTGGTGACTGATACAGGATAGGTTCGAGTCATCATATGCATGTGTTGCGTAAGTAATTTATAGTACAACAAGGAGAAAAAATATTACGAATATCTCTTTTAATTCTGTAAAATGGCATGTACACATGATTCAGTAAAAAGTAAATCCCTAATTTTGCATAGTACGTTACACGCAGGCAAGCTTAATTAATACACCAATTACCTATCTAATAATAAATGCCTAGCGCTAAAGTACAAAACCCCTGCTTGGTTTAGGAACGGAGTTAATTGGAAAGCAGAATAGGGCGTGGCGAATGAACACGGCTCTAGCTGTAGCTACGTAAAGTTGCTTGTAATTTCTCTCCTACTGGACTCTCATGCTGAGGACAAAGACTTCAGGATGAAAAAAAAATCATCAGATTCCTATCCAAGTATGAGTGTTATGTGAGGTTTCATGTTCTCACGGCGGTGACTCTGAAGATTACTGTATTCCGGAATATGACGTCATGTAGTCGGGCAGACATTTACCCAAGCTCGGAGGAACATGTTGCCTCCACGTTCAAGTAGAAGATGCTCTTCTGTTCTGAAGACAAAGGCACCATGTTTCTCCAAAATACTGATAAGTATTTATCCAGCTACTCGGCGAGATATCCTAGAAAACTTCAATGTGTACGGTACTGATATTCGAGTAAGTCCAGTCAGACTTTTTTGGTATCTTGGATATTATTGCGTGAGTATAATTCTGTTTGGAGACATGTAATATCAATTTACATGCATTGTAGAATGCTCCAGAAGAAACTCAACATATGGAATAATACCAAAATTAAATTACAGTATTCCTGGAAATTATTATAATGATTTCCAGGAATACGATAATTGTATTTGATCGGCGAGCTCTTTATTGTATAGTAGAGAAATGAAGGGAAATTGGGCAATTAGTGATTCAGAGCACAGCTAGAAGGGTCAGAGAGAAATTTCTGACCTCTGACAGCGTATGGTTGCCTCTATAATCTCTATAACGCTAGAAATGCTGAACAGAAACCCTTTCACTAAATATGCCACCGGCTGGACATTCTCTGTATAAAGAATTGCTTTTGTGTGATACGTTAGCGCCCTGCCGCACGATACTTGTATATCCCTCTCAGTACCACATAATTCAACACTGTAGACAATTATAGGGGAACTGTAACTTGTTTCTTAATTTGTTTGTTCTTTGTAAGGATATACTGTGATTTAACTTCATCGTCCAGAATAGTTTCTAAGCAACTAGAAGGGATTTTCTCGTTAATGCCCTTCAGAAATGGATACTCCTTTTTTTTTAATACATAACAAATGTTCCATACAATGAAAACACGTCAAGACTTTTTTTATTGCTAGTGAGGTTGGGCTAAGTCCCTTGCACTGCGGCCACTTCTGGCCTATCGTACCAGCCCCAGATGATAGGTGAGGGTGATTGTGGAGCAATTGATGGAATGAAGATTGGCAGGGGAAACCGAAGTACTCGGAGAAAACCTGCCCCAGCACCAATTTGTCCACCACAAATCCCACTTGACCAGACCCGGGATCGAACCCGGGCCGCCGCGGTGGGAAGCCAGCGGCTAACCGCTTTAGCTATGGTTCGGCCTTCGTCAGGACGTTAGTACTCGTATGTTGAGAGATGGCCTTTATTCCTCGCAAAGCCAGACACATAGTGCTTTCTTTTCCTGCTTGTTGTGCTCAGTGCACTTGTGTTTTTGAGGGTTTATCTCAAACATATTATTTTCCAATGTGACATCAAAGCGCTCAGTAGAGAAACAGATAAATAGTGCATACATACTGTAACGGATTTGTTCAACGCATTGCCAGGCAACGACTCCGTAAACACGTTCAAACACGCAACAGTGGAAGAATGAACTAGCTGGGTAGAGATCACGTGACCTGTGTTTTCTGTGTGGTCTATGCCAAGCAATAGTAGAATTGTGTTTTCTGCAATGTCTATGCGAGTCCGCTTGCAGCTGAGATGAGCTTTAGTTGAGTTCCAAGGTTCCAGGTTGATTGAACAAGGAATGACAAGATTTCATAGTCGTTTCAAGTGCTAGTTTCTGTGTTGAGATCCGTTGCTAGGAGACCACTAGTGGAAACTGAGAATCCTAGTGCGTGTGCACCGGTAAACAGAAAGTGTGTAGAGTAGCGATAGCGTTATAACTGAATGCGATTCAGATAAGTTGTAATCGAAGTGCCAGTAAATCCAATCATCCGATATACAATACATTGTTAAGTCAAGCGCTCCCTCCTACACGTGACAATACATGCATCCATATGTACTAATAGACATATATACATGTATATAGTGACCCAAGGGTCGGTAATCTAAAATACTCTCTCGTATTAAGGAGAATGTTCGGACTTAAACCTACTAGTCAGTTTGTAGAACGGTATCACGGCGTTGTGAGTTCTGCATTGAACATAGGGGATACAATTTCGAAAAATTTTTGTAAATTCATTAAATTACAGAGAATTTTTTAAGGTGTTTTAGTGTATTTTGCTAACCAGTCAACTGAATTTTGGATCTTCTTGTACTTTCCCTCTGTTATTTTGATATGTAGGCATACGAACTAAGCCTACTTCAAGTCGCCCGATTTCTACATATTTTCGGTGAATTCACGACTTTTTTCCCCCCTTGGCACTACAGCCCCAGTGGGCCTAGGCCTACCTCCTTCTACTTCTCCTTTCACTTCGGTTTTTCTAGATCTTACACATTTGGTAGAACCCCTTGGACGGGTGATCAGCTCGTCGCAAGGTCTCTACCTGTACATAAACACAGAAAAACGCACACACACAAACTAAACATCCATACCCTGAGCGGGATTCGAACCCACGATTCCGGTTTCCAAGCGAGCGAAGACAGTACATGCCTTAGACCGCTCGGCTACTGTGACCGGCTTCACGACAATTATCTTACGTTTTTAACAAATTTTCGACTGCAGCAATATTTTAAGAGAAAGAATTTCTTTCGCAAAATAACATTTTATGATTAAGTGAATCAAGAAAATAATTTTTGAACACCCTGTACCTGTTCACGCGTATTAATTCATGAAATTCATGATCATATAAGAATCCCATATACCACTCTGTCGTAATGGGTCTTTCTCTTGTTTTGAAACTCGTATCCAAGTTATAATCCCTTGTCACTAGTAGCTGTAACTATACAATGAACAATCATGACGTTATGAATTTTATATAAAAATAGTGTCAGAATATGAATATATATTCAATAACTTGTGATGATTTATTACAGAAGAGTGCCTTCTCTAAGTGTTCCATTTTTGTCAACTCCAGTGGATTCATGAATTAATATAGTAACGAACACATCAGACGGCTTGTACTTGAGCAAGCCATCCATCAATCTTCCGAATAGTGTTGTAGTGTATCAAAATGTCGAAGGTTGAGCTTTTAGGCTTAGGAAAACGCTCAAAACAAATTAATGGTGTACTCAACGCATAATACAATGATGTTTACGTTAAATTTTCTTATAAACCAAACATTATATCAACGCGCTATTTACTTAGGAAACTGGACTCTTGCTTTATAGTTACTATAGGATTCTGACGATGGTGTATAACACACTGATATGTTGGGTTTTTGGACTTTATCCATCGTCCTGGTTCGTTCGTCCAGTGATTGAGGCTAGCTCTTTCTAACGGACCCAACTGAATAGGTGTTTTCCTTCACCTGACGACGGAAACAGATCCAGTTTCCGAAACGTCGTGTTTTTATTTGTTATCTTAAAAAACCAGGACGATGGATAAAGTCCAAAAACCCAACATATCACTCTTGCTTTATATTCAAGAGGTTCTGTATATGAATCTCGGTGCAGAGGCCAACTCTCTTAAGAGGTTAATAGGCTTATTGGTTTTTCTTAGTCCCTCCACTCAGTTGCTGATGTATGACACTAAATTACGTCACATTCATTTCCATACATTTCGTTTTCCATTTCTTAGTTTATATTCATTCTACAATTTGAAGTACATAACCTGTTCCACAAAGAAAGCATTGTTAAATAACATAAGGATTAATAAGAATAAATGTCTGTTGGTCTAATTAGAAAGGTACTTAGACAGAAGAAATCTCACTGAAGGTCTGATGTTGTGATAGCATGGATGCTAATTAAGTCTCACGCAATCGAGGGCTGTGATAAATGAATATGGGGCATTGGTAAAGTGATCACTGACAGCGAAAAATAGTCCTATTATTATTATTATGGCTCTACAGTGCTTTGTTGGGCCTTGGCCGATTTTTAAGTTCCTTGATCCTATACACAATCGCTACGACTCCTTGGACGGGGGATCTGCCCGTTGCAAGACCTCTACCAATGCACAGAACAACACAAACAGGGAATAAACGCACACAGACATACATGCCTTCAGTTGGATTCGAACCCACTATCCCAGCGTTCGAACGAGCGAAGACCGTTCATGTCTTAGACCGCGCCGCCACTGTGACCGGCTGTTTGTTCGCCTCGGCACTAGAATTAAAAGTAAACACGCTGATTGCATAGCTTCAGTTATCTTGATCATGAACACTAGTGAAGAATGAATACTATCTGTTTAACGTTCAAGACTTGTGGTGTAAAGCCAGAAATATTAAAAATGAGATATGTATTTCAGATCAAACTCTGACCGAATAAATTTCTTCCGGGAATATCTCATCTAGTCACGTCCGGGTTCTGTCTTTCCTGGGAACGGCCGTGCTGGCAGAGATTAGCCTTATAATCTTGAGGAAATTTCAAAACATCAGTCTACATCAAAAGCCTATCAGAGAGCAGTACATTACTGGATGCGCTAAGAATCAAATATGTGTGTGATTCTATATAGGTAGAATCTTGATAAAATGAATATGACGGGAATGGTAGATATATAAATGATAACTTACCTGCACTGTGAGGTTAGATGCAACCGATATAAACGGAATTTCATGAAGATGATGACTATACTGCGCTGGATGGGCTTATAATCTTGGAAGAAAACAATTTCTTTAAGATATTTTATGGATGTGCTAAGAAAATAAAGTACGTAAAAATTTTAAAAGGCAAAAGTTGAAGTCATTTCAATTTATTGAACACTATGCCGTGAAGCCATCGGGACTAAAGGTATAGCGTCTTAACCCCAGCACTGGAGGGGGGGAATGGTCAGTTTCACGTCCCGTCCGTCTTGCTTCCGGAGAAATAACCCCGGAAATCTTTGGGTAGGATCCTGTGTGGGCACCAGCAGCGGTCGGGATACTATGGAAAAGAGTAAAATTTCTTGCCTCTGCAGGGAATCAAACCCCAGTTCCCAAAGTATAAATGAAACTTGCGTGAATACGAGTACGTATTCCCTCTTTTTCGTGTAGCCTAATTCTCTTTCGTGCTGCTTCCCGAATTCTATCTGAGGAGGACCATAGGTATTATAAAGAGGAAAGAATGAACGAAATAAATATGGAACATTCCGATAGCCTACTGGAAGAAGTAGAAAGCAAAGCAAGGAGGAAAAAACGAGGAAAGATAGAAAATTTATGACGCAAAAGAGAGCAGTGTGGAAAAGTGAAGGAGTGGAAGAGCGAAAGACAAAACTGAAAAATTATATTAACTGAAAATGTTTCTTATGCTCGCCAAGATGAGCAGCTACAGCAATAATTTTGCTGCGCGTCTGCCAACGTAAATGGAAACGCAAGGTTTTACGATGAACTCATTTATGAAAGGAATAAACCAATTTATTGCTATTTTTATAAAACTGCTTTAGCCATATTTTCTCTTCTATTATAACCTTCATTTGACGAAGCGGTCAAGTCTTTGAAGGCTTTCTGATGATTTCGCTTCTTCATTTGGTTCCTCTGAAGGATAAAGAAGAGATAAAGGGTAAAAGTCAGACAGAAAGGCAAAGAGAACGGGAGAGAAAGCGAAAGCAGAAAAGGAAACTTTTGTGCTGCAGAGTAACGATAGAGTAGAATGAAGTTCAGACTTCCAATGTGATTACAAACGAACGTGGTTTGTTTCCATATTTGTTTAATCTAGAACACGGCATATGTGTAAATGGGAACGTCTATATAAACGAAACATGTTCGGTTTCATAATAATTCTATATAAACGTGAAGAAAGCAGTCTTTTGGGATGTGGCACCGTGTAGATGTGGTGTTAACCGACATTTCGGAGGAACGTATCGCCTCCATCTTTAGGGTGGAAGGAGAAATAAGAAATCCTCAAGCGAAGGGAGAGATTTCTTATTTTTCATTCTACCCTGAAGATGGAGGCGATATGTTCCTCCGAAACGTCGGTTAACACGATATCTACACGGTGCCACATCCCAGAAGACTGCTTTCTTCATAGTCACCGCCGTGAAAACCTCAAATCTTACTATATAAACATGTTTTACTCTGTATGGAATATGGAAGTAATTATTGAAAAGTGTGTGTATATAAACGGCGATGGGTGAAACTAACTATATTTCTTGTGTCACATACACAGAAGTATAAAGGACTACTTTGAGGGAGACATAAAAATGACCTATATAGTTGGAGTGGATACATAAGACAACAAATACAAAACTGAGAACTGAAGAAATAAAGTTCTTCGACATATGAAACTTTAGCTCGGAGCAAGAATTGTGAGATTACAAGTCGTAAAGAAATTGTAGTATCTTTTTATGAATCACTAAAATCTTATGATTTGAAGCGAGTTATTAAACAAAACGGACAAAAAATAACTGTAATAATAAATTGAAACGACCAAAAACTTAATAATAATGGAAACTCATGGTATTGACTGATGTAGCTTTGACACCTCCACAAAATGAGCAAATGAAAAATTCAACCCTGTTACAAAATTAAACATTTTTTGGCAATACTGGTATTTAAAATTATTTTTAATAAAAGCAGATATCACAAAAACTCACCTGAATTGCCAAATTTCAGTAATAACAGGAATAAATATGTTACAACATTAGAACAGAGATTGACCAAACAGTGAATAAAATTCGCGATACGGTTAGATAACATCCATTAAATCAAGAATTGTTCTCACATTTCGACATTTACCTCTCCCCATGTAACATTCTTTTCATAGTTAAAAGGCTGCACTTACATCACTTTTCGTTTTATTTAACACTAATAATTTTAGTCTTGTTACTACAGAAATCCGACTTATTGCACTGGAATACAATGTTCTCTCTAAATTGTGTTAAAACATGACATTCACAGGACATCTGCTTTCGCGTAGCTCCACAATTTATTTTAACATTTCCCATATTTTACAACAAGGGTGACAATTGTTTTATTGATTAGGCCTCAAAGAAATAGTGCAATAGCGCTCGCTGAAATGTTCAAGGTCATTTTGATAATTTCATCCATGCTTGAAAAGTTAAGAGCCACATATGTTCTTTTTGTCACTCCTGTTCTCAGAATAGTTGCTATAAAGAAGGTCTCCAAACATATTGTACACAGCTACAATCTGAATCGCAATTGTTTATTTTTGCTGGCTTTGAGCGAAGTTCATCTCTTGTGTAAGCAGGCTCCAGGCGACAGTCTCAGTGAAACAACCCGTGGCCTCCAGTGCGAACGGGCGAGTGAGAAGTGACCTGTGATATTCAGGCTCTTGTAGGTCGAGGTCACGGTCACAGCGGCGGGATCGATGTAGCTGCTTCGGGGGTTGCAGCCGGGTGGGATTGGGCATGACGGGGCCAAGCAACTCCTCCCACACACAACAAGCAAGCTCCAGGGTTGGCCGCTTTCCACCCCTTTGCACCCTAAAATGTCAGCACATGTTATGAAGACCGCCCACTCACTCGATTTCGGGGGATCAGGTGGTGGGAAGTCGGAAGGGCGGCAAAAAATGAACTCTTATATCCCCATTGCTATTTTTGTAAAGAAAAAATAGGAAATGGTATTTATTTTAGCTTTTCTTTCTCGATTCCAACCTACTTTTTCCTTCTACGTTGCTATGAACGAAAAAGAAATGAAAGCTTTGAGATATCAAATAAAGTACCAAGTTCGCGGATCCAGTTCCTTCGATTTCTGCTTCTGGACAGATATCGGTTTGAAAATATTTCTTACTTACTTACTTACTCAAAGAGCTGAGCACTTCTTGAGGAGCCGCCAATTCTGCAGCTACTAACAATTTCCCAGCATTTTATGGAACTCGAAGGTTCATCATCGTATTCACAAGAGCCCTGCACTGGTCCCTATCCTGAGCTAGATTTATCCAATCCATACCATCCCATCCTATCTCTCTAAGATCCACTCTAATATTGTCCACCCACGTACGCCTTGTTCTTCCTTGTGGTCTCTTTCCTTATGGCTTTCCCACCAATATCCTATGCGCATTCCTCGTCTCCCCCATTCGTGCTACATGACCTGCCCCCCTCATCCTCCTTGACTTAATCATTCTAATTATACTTGGAGAAGAGTACAAGTTATGAAGCTCCTCATTATGCAGTTTTCTTCAACCTCCTGTCGCTTCATCCCACTTCAGTCCAAATATTCTCCTCAACACCCTGTTCTCAAACACCCTCAGTCTATCTTCCTAATATGTATTACTGAAATTAAATTTTTATAGAGTATAAAGATGTTTATACAGACGGACTGAAACGCGCCTTGTGTTGGAAAAATGAACTCACCGAGAAGTTCTTTTCGCTTTATCAGAAGCACGTACTGACCTCAATATGTAACAGCCGAATTTACACGTACTGTATCCAGACTCATGTCATTCGGTGATCAAAGTTGTGCGAACCGTGTCACTGGCATTTCGTTTTAACTGTGCTGGATGTTGTGTGTACATTCCGGAAGACAAAGGAGACAAGTTTACAATATAATTCTAACAGCTCAAGTATTCATTATAATTTCCTTTGAACAGAAACTGAAATTCTTGTTATCATAAATAAGATGTTCTACATATTAACTGTGGCCCGTCATAAACTTTCGTTGAACAAAAAAGTCCTTCAGCAAGAACTTCAGAGAAGACTGTGTACGTTTTACTCTCCTCCAAATTCTTCAATGTAGAGCCGGGATAGCTCAGTCAGTATAGCGACTAGCTACGGACTGGAGGACGTAGTTCGAGTCCTGGTGGAGCAGGAATTTTCACTTCTCCATGTCGTCCAGACCTGTTGTGGGATCCACCCAACCTCCTATACAGCGCGTACCATGGGCTCTTTCCTGGGGGTTAAAGCGGCCGGGGCGTGAAGCTGACCACTTACCTCAAACTAGTGTCGAGGTCAAGAGAATACGGGTCTATACATCCGCTCTCCCGTACGCCTTTATGGCGTAGTGCTTAATTAACTTAACACAGGGACAACCTATTAAGTGTTATTTCAAAAGTGTGACTCACTGGCCAAAAGCATTAAAAACCCTCTCAGTGATGACGATTCAGAAAAGGAGTGTGTTATTAAGGCGTGCCTTATTTTTTTCCCGTATTGGAGTCATACTTGTCAAATCTGCCAAAAATCTTGAATCTGTCAGTCTTAGTATCATGGAATGCTACAATGTAGGTAATGCAATGTTTAGATAATAAAATTCAGTAGAGGATAGAGGACAGGTATTTTTGTAATTCCAATGAAAAATTTTAAACTGTTTGAATCCACCCGTGCAGAAATGTGCTAGAGATGATTTGTTAATTTCTACTGGTGCTTGCACAAGTACAACACATTTCTAAGAATTCTGAATTATAAAATGCAAATCCTGTCCATTGTCTAGTGCCATTAAATTTAAAAACTAAATTTTCTTTCAGACGTTTGTAAACCATTGCAAAAGAATTTAATCTTGATTTTATAAATGGGGACAGTCTGTATGAAGAGTTCTCTAGTGCAAAAGTGTTGTGAATGTGGTAAAAACAGGTAGTATAGAACAAAGGAGCCTGGGTGGGCAAATACGTATAGGTTAGGACTAAGAGACAAGCAAATTTGTAAATTTTTATTCTACATTGTGACCTGTATATTATATCCAATGTAAATTCATTGTTTTGTTTAATCTTTTACATTCCTCGAACATTTGCTGGAGTGATGCCGCGCCGCTAAAAATGCGCAAAATCTGTCGCGACCAAATCACCATTTTTTTAATGCTAGTGGGGTGGGACTAAGTCCCTTGTATTGCGGCCACTTCTGGCTTATTGTACCAGCCCCAGATGATAGGTGAGGGTGATTGTGGAGCAATTGGTAGAATGAAGATTGGCAGGGGAAACCGAAGTACTCGGAGAAAACTTGCCCCAGCGCCACTTTGTCCACCACAAATCCCACTTGACCATACCCGGGATCGAAGCCGGGCCCTCCGCGGTGGGAAGCCAGCGACTAACCGCTTGAGCTATGGCGCTGCCGTAAATCTCCCTTAAATTCATGGCCGAAAGTTGGTCACCCTAAAGCAAGTTTAATTATACATGAACCTAACGAACGCTTGCTTTATGGACACTATGAGCGTATACCTCTCCGTTCTTCTTACAAGAGTCAGTACCGTTGCGAGATTAGTGTAAGCACTGGCAGCCATACGCGCAAGTACAGATCCGCCCATTCGTCCACCTACGCAATCTCTCCCTCTGTTGGTATTGCAGATCGTCTCTCCCAGCGGGGCCTTGCAATCATCGTGGGCGTGCGTACCTACGTGGGTTGAGCCATGCCTGTGGGATCCTGCGTGCGTATGCGTACGTCAGTCTCAGCCGGTCATCTCACAGTCTGTGTTGTCAAGATACCAGACGTTAAATCTGTTGTCAAAATAAATAGTTGTATGTTGCCGTGATCGTTAAGGTGAATATTTAGACCGAAGAAGGATGAGGTGACAGGATGCTGGAGAAAACTGCACAATGAGGAACTTCATGACCTGTACTATTAGCCAAGTATAATTAGAATGTTCAAGTCAAAGATGGTGAGATGTGCGGGGCATGTAGCACGAATTGGGGAGAAGAGGAATACATATAGGGATTGGCGGGAAAACCAGAAAGAAAGAAAGAAACCACTAGGAAGACCAAGACGTGAGTGGGTGAATAATATTAAAATGGATCTTAGAGAGACAGAATGGAGTGGTATGGACTGGATTGATCTGGCTCAGGGTAGGGACAAGTGGAGTCCTCTTGTGAACAGGTTAATGAACCTTGGAGATCTATAAAATATTTGGAAATTCTGGAGTAGGTGCACAACTGGCGGCTTCTCAGAAACTGCTAATCTCTATGGAGTGAGTTATATTACCGTGGTCAGCATTGCCGTCTTGAATCCCTCCATCCTCAGGATCGAAGAGAAAGCAAGACAAGAAACCAGCATGAAGCAGTTGGAAGGCGGGGCTGCTTGCTATCTGCTTCATGCTGGTGCGAAGAATTTCATGCATTATGTCAAGTTTTTAAGTGTCCGAACTATCCATTGGCTCTCAACTGAATATACGACGTTATATCCAGAAGACAGAACTCTTCATAATCACCGCTGTCAAAACCTCAAATCCTGCTTTCCTTCTTATGTTTTAATGAAGCAGGCTTATAAAACGGGAGCAGGGGAGATGGCACGTGTTATGTCACACACGCGCGCTCGCACGAAAAGTCTGCCGAACTTCGTGGGTACAGTAATCAAGCATTTTTGAGCAGGAAAGCTTAGCGGCGCTGAGCTCCATACTGGTGCCACACAGGAGAGGGAATCATACTGCATGCATTGGAGTCACAGAGATTGTTTCCAGGGAGGAGAGGGAAGCCAGAAAATTTTGTTATAAACCTTCCTTAACACTATTTTCACTGATTGCATGGATAGAATATTAAGGAGAAAAGATTAAAAAAGTAAAATTTGTCCCTGTACTTAATTAATTAAGCACTGCACAATGAAGACGTCTGGAGGAGTGGATGTATAGATCCACATTTTCTTGACTTCGGCACTAAATGGAGATGAGTTGTCAGCTTCACGCACCGGCCGCTTTATTCCCAAGGAAATCACCGCCAGTACCCATTGGATAGGATGCTAGGTGGATTCCAGAGCCAGTCTGGATGACACGGAGAAGATAAAATTCTTGAGAGAGAAATAATTTTCATCACAATATCTAGCATAGAGATCAAAAGAAAATAAAGTTTGCTCACGTACTTAAAATATTGGTTAATGAGGATAAGAATTAGATCTAGAAATTCTAACATAATGTGAACTACGTCATCTCTTTATCAAAAGATGGAAGCTTATTTCCAATATTTGTTTATTTTGTACTTTTCATCTCGGACAATTTTCGATTTTTTTCTTTGCTTTGCTAAAAATTTTGCGTATACTGCGTCCCCTGAGTCATATCAACTTCCTTATTTTATTTCTCTTCTAGTTTGCAATAACTAACATTTTCGTTTATTATCTAGCATATAATATATTTGTTCTGTTATTTCCTTTTTAGAATTATTGCTGTAGAATTATTCTCATAATTTAAAGACATTTTTTTTCTGAATTCCCTCGCAAAATTGTGATATAGCGCACAAGTGTAAGCATTGCACAAGTTTGCTGCGCCCGTTCCTCCAGGGCAGGATTGCACCTAAGCCGTAGTGTTTGTAGTGTAAGGTCTTGGAGATAATATCGAATATTTTTGTCTGCTGAAGACGATTCATCGCACGGTCGAAATGTGTATATATCGGCTGAAACGTTTAGATGACAGCAGTGGAAAGAAACTATTCAACTATCGGGAAACCCGTCAATGTATTCAAATAATGACAATGGAATAAAAGTATTCGAATGACAGCAACCGAACTGTTATCAGAAATACACCAACTGTGGTATGGAACCCATGTTTGAATTTATTTCTTTGTTATTACACGTTATAAAATAAGTACACATAAACCCTACATTAATTTATGTCTCCGGCGGTCATGAATTTTTATACGTCATAAGTTCTGTAGGAGCCGGTGTAGCTCAGTGAGTATTCTTACAGGGTGTGACATGATATGTAGGTACTCACCATTTCACTACTGCCCACCGCCCATGAGATATTAACATAGATACTGGAAATTGGGAGAACTTTACGCTGTGTGAACCGCCGTCTTGACAGAAGTTCACATGTGGCGATGCATGGAAACTGTCCGATTGCTTTCGGATCTGTGCACATGAGACAAAGCCTATCTTTGTCAGATTATGACTATGAATGAGACGGGAACCGTTTCACACGCACCCGAATTTAAATGACAGTCAAGTGAATAGTCACAAAGAGGTCACCAAAGATCATCAACCTCAAAGAGATTTCAGCACAAGCAGGACGAAGTGGTCATATTGGCAATTGGGTACATTTACAAGGACCTTCTCCTGACACATACAATCCCTTCTGGAATTACACTAAAAGCATCATATTAACTGAACTTCCTGGTACATAATTTGCATCCTATACCGCATAATAAGCGACGCGTTCTGCAGTCAGATCCTGTTGTTCTGCGCAACACTGTTTCCAGTCATGTGACCAGGACGGTGACTGATGTTCTTAGTGGAATTTGGTGTCACTGAAACATCACCGTGTGAACGGAGAAGTTCATGGAGGTAGGCCTAGGCCCACTGGGGCTGTAGTGCCAAGGGGGGAAAAAAATCACCGTTCTCTCTGGATATGACTCCGTGTGATTGCGATCTTCCTCTGAAACTGAAATAATCCCTATGAGGCATATGATTCAAAACGATATAAGATTTTACAAAGGGGGCAGCCAATCACGAACATATCGAAAATGGACGCTTCTGATGGCTACATATATTTCCATATGTGTGGCATTGGATGCGTGACAAAGCAGAGGATTTTATTGAAGGCTGAAAAGACGTCAACTTGCGCATATTTTTTTTGTAACACTGCCGCCTTAAATTGCGAATAATCTACGCCAAAGCTAACTACAAAACACTGAGCGGACGTATTATACATTCAGTCGGACTATATACAGAATGACCGCACTATAAAAAGTACATTTTCTTCTAATATATCGACGTAAATATCTACTTTGTAGTAGCCAGATGTATAAAACACAAGCACAGATATAAAAACTGGAACCGCGGGCTTCAAAATGTCAGAAATAAATGGCGGTTTTGATCCTGTTGAGTACCATTGTACAAGATACTTAATATTTTACATTATTTGCTGCAGTAAAAATTCGAGCTCGATCCTCCAATTTGTGTTTCTAATCTGTAATTATGGACCGCCTGAGTGGTCTAGTAGTCAGAATTCCTTGCAACAGGTCCAGAGGTCCCGGGTTCGAATCCCGGGGCTACCAGATTTTCTGAGAAGTAGTGGATCTGGAACGGGGTCCACTCAGCCTCATGAGGATAATTGAGGACCTTTTTCAAGGAAATAGCGGCTCCGGTCTAGAAAACCAAAATTAACAGCCGTTTGGATTCGTTGTGCTAACCACGCGACACCCTCTATCCGCAAAAAGTTGGCACTAACTTCGACGACAAGAGGAAGTCGCTCGGTCGGTATAGTTCGCTTGCAGACTACAAGCCACGGAGTTTTTATCTGTAATTACAGTCCGCCAAATTATCTGTAATATATCTTCAGTGGCTGAAAATTCAACTGAATATCTTCATCGATTATTTAAATCTTACTCTTAATTTTACATATTGAATACACTTTTATTATAGTAGTAAGTTGTAAACGTCAACACAAATGTAAGACCGCAGTAATAAAGTTTGCATGAGGCGGGGGGGGGAGGGTGCAACACAAACTTGTCGTGATTTAGGCCATACGAAGCTTACTCTCTCGGCATTTCCCTGGAAGTAACTTCATCCTCTGCCCCCCTTCTCACTTCGTCCCGTTCACTTCTTTTTTCCTTCCATGTGTTATAAAAACACTTAAGGCGTTATTTCATACTTTTAAAAAAATAAAAGTGAGTCGGCATTGCTTGATGCCAAATGAATCCGCTTAGTGAATATGTATTCTGGCCGCGCCATAGCTCAAGCGGTTAGTCGCTGGCTTCCAATCGCGGAGGCCTGGGTTCGATCCCGGGTCTGATCAAGTGGGATTTGTGGTCGATAAAGTGGCGCTGTGGCACGTTTTCTCCGAGTACTTCGGTTTCACCTGCCAATCTTCATTCCACCAATTGCTCCACAATCACCCTCACTTATCATCTGGGGCTGGTACAATAGGCCAGAAGTGGCCGCAGTACAAGGGACTTAGTCCCACCCGACTAGCAATAAAACAAAGGAATATATAATCTCATTTCTGCTATCTGATAAATATTTGACTCGAAAAATTTGTCAAAGGATCATTCACAATTAATCTCCAGTCTTTTTAAATAAGGCCCCTTCCGTTTTGAAAAAAAATGCTATTCTTTACCAGACTTTCTAAATCACAAATGTGAATCTTCTCTAACAGTAACGCACAAGAAAAACGAACTCCGTGGCCTGTAGTCCTCAAGCGAACTATACCAACCGAGTGACTGTCTCTTGTAGGCGAAGTTAGTGCCAGCTTTAGCGGTTAGATGGTGTCGCGTGGTCAGCGCAACGAATCCTGACGGCCGTTAATTTCGGTTTTCTATACCTGTGTCGCTATATCCTTGAATTAGCTCCTCAGTTATCGTCACGAGACTGAATGAACCCCGTTACAGACCCACTTACTTACTTACTTACTTACTTACTTACTCATGGAGCTGAGCCCTTCTTGAGCATCCGCCAGTTGTGCAGCTACTCAAGAATTTTCCAGCATTTTATGGAACCCGAAGGTTCATTATCGTGTTCACAAGAGCCCTCCACTGGTCCCTATCAGGAGCCAGATCAATCCAATCTATACCATCCCATACTATCTCTCTAAGATTCATTTTAATATTGTCCACCCACCTACGCCTTGGTCTTCCCAGTGGTCTCCTTCCTTCTGGCTTTCCCGTCAATATCCTATATGCATTCCTTTTTTTCCCCATTCGTGCTACATGGCCTACCCATCTTCATTCTTCTTGACTTGATCATTCTAATTATACTTGGAGAAGAGTACACAAGTTATGAAGATCCTCATTATGCAGTTTTCTCCAATGTCCTGTCACTTCNCTTCATTCTTCTTGACTTGATCATTCTAATTATACTTGGAGAAGAGTACAAGTTATGAAGATCCTCATTATGCAGTTTTCTCCAATCTCCTGTCACTTCATCTCTCTTCGGTCCAAATATTCTCCTCAGCACCCTGTTCTCAAACACATTCAGTCTATGTTCCTCCCTTAATGTCAGGGACCAAGTTTTACAGATCCACTGCTTCTCAAATAATCTGGTAGTGCCGGGAATCGAACCCGAGACCTCTGGATCTGTAGCCAGGAACTCTGAGCATTAGACCACAGAGGCGGTCTGTATTTTAAGTAGTGTTAATTAGAAGACTGAGGAGCAGTTATATACACAGAAGTGTGTGGTTATCGGAAGGTCCTGCGTTCCGGTCACTATGGGTTCTTGAGGCTACGGAAGACAGAGGCCTGGGTTCCGTTCTGAACTGGGTTACTCTTTGGAAATATTTTACACCAAAAACATAGCTCAGTACTGCAGTTTCATAAAGAAATGAGACTGACTTGTTTGGCCGGTTCGTGTGTACGAAAGAAATGTATTTAAAATTCAGAAAATACAAAAGCCTTTTCACCACAAGTAAATATTTACCATTTAAAATAAATCTTCTTTTTTCATTTTGGAGAACTCTGGAGCATGCTACCGTTCGGAGCACCGTTTCCATTCAACCACAAGCAAGGATATTTCCGTGACTGTTGATAGCTTCGGTAGCCTTGTTGATGTGGGAATTACCCACAACCTTGAAAAGATACATAAAAACTTCCATTCAGCTGGTATAGAAATTCCGCTGTACAGTTTACTACAACTTACCACTACAAAATGTCCTTCCTGCTGTTCACAGAAGCAAAACACTTTCGTTAAGACCATATATTTATTTGTGCATTTTAAGTAGTCACATGGGTAAGAATGACACTCAACTAACATATTTCTATAGCCTTTTTTTATTTGTTTCATTCTGGTCCGTCACACTAACAATTACAAATACAAACCACTCCGTCCAATGTGACACATAAGTTTTTACTACGTGAAAACTTATCTCTTGTTCTATAGCTTCACTTAAAATTATTAGTGTGATTAGATCAGTGTTTAGGTGGGCAGCACATTGAACAGGCATAAGGAAGTGGGAAGTGCTTACGAAGTTTTGGTATGGAAAAGACCACTTTACAGACATACAACTATGTGTGATTATAATATGAAATTTAGCCTACGACTAGATTAAATTACTCAGGACAGGTCACAGTGGTGGGCCCTATTGAACGCGTCGATGAACATACGGACTCCATAAAAGCAGAAAGTTCCTTGACCAGCCAAATAAGTGTCAACTTTTCGTGGAAAAACCTGCACAATGGAATAAGTTCAAAAAGCAGATTTGACTTGGACAGGACAGCAGTAACTTAAAATCTTAACAGTTTATTTAGAAGATACACCAGCGTGCATTAATGCTGCAAAATTTATTTTGGAGTTTCGATACACCAACATTTTCATTAGTAATTTCAGTCAGACAGGGATATTTATATTCTAAGACTGACTGATTTTCATTTAAACTATGGCATCAATAAGACAAGCTTTCAGTAAAAGATAAGAGGCAAAGTTGTTCCTGTGCTTAACTAATTAAACAGTACGCCATGAAGGCGTATGGGGGAATGGAAGTATAGATCCACATTTTCTTGTACCTCGGCACTAACTGGAAGTGAGTGGTCAGCTCCATGCCCTTGCCGCTTTACCCCCGGGGAAAGAGATCCTGGTACCCATTGGATAGGAGGTTGGGTGGGCCCCAGAGCCGGTCAGGACGAAGTAGAGAAGAAAAAATTTTTGACCCTACTGGAACTCGAACTCAGACTCCTTGGTCCAGCCCATAGCATGTCGCTATATCGACAGAGCTATCCCTGCTCCTAGACAACCTTTCTATTCAAGAACGTAGAGATAAATGTGGGAAACAGACCTGGATTTTCTAATATACACGCAAATAACATGAGTCTCCTCCACGAAGAAGCTGAGCGCTATCTATAGACTATTTTCGTTGTTATCGTTGGAAGGTAGGCACGTACTTTTCAGGTGTTCCTTGTCTTATAAAAATGCCTTGTGCTGAAGTCTTGTCTGTGACCTATTATCAATGACTAAATGGTCTGGTGGAGCTGTTTGGAAGACTTTCACTAAAGTTGTCTGGAAGTTGTAATTTTGGTTAAAGTCAGACAACATGACAAATATTGTACATAAAGACTACATCGTTTTTTTTTCTTTTTTGCTTATCTCGAGCTCCATATGCATATAACTCTATAACTACTTATCGTAAAGTAAAATGCCTCAGACCGAAGTTGTAGAAAGAAATTAGACTCGCTCTTTGGCATACAACAGTTCATTTCGCAAGTCTTAATTTTTTGGAAGTAATTAGAAAGACTTTTTGTCCCTCGTGTCTGTCTGTCTGTGGCATAGAATCAGAGCTTGAACTGTGAAACTGAGCTTTTTAGAATTCGATATAGGAGATCATATCTAAAATATGTGATCAATGTGATTTTTAGCCTTAACCCTCTACTTTACTTACATCCATACATTTCCTAATCATGCATTTCTTAAACCATGAATAAAGTTATATAAGCGGACCGCAAGTAAGCTTAATGCAGTAGGTAGAACCCCGTTTACAATTTTATATATTGCATGTGTATTATGAATTACACACATTCTAATTCTGCTATAATTTAAAATTATATTTTTGCTCTTTTTGACGAAATGTTAAATTTATTTTCTTGCGTCTATACCCTTTATTGCCATTCATCTTTCTATATTTATTAAATGATGTCCCATTTACTATATAGAATACATAGAGTTAAACAATTTAGGTACTATTAACATAAGTTTATATTACGTTATTCTCGTAGAAGTTTCTGGAAGCATTGAGTAAAACGACTATGAAACTGAGTCGAGACAGTCAATCTCCCAGCCGAGATTCGAATTCTGGACTTCTAAAATACGAAGTCAGAATGTAGCCTATTTTCTGATGATTAATTCCATTTCCTTTTGGCATCACATCTACTCTGCGGTCTTTCCTCTGCAGCAAAACAGTGTTGATTAGGAATGGAAGAAGTAACAGTTCCACGGGCTGCCACGTAGAACCAAGTTGTGTCAGATAGAATTGAGTGTAAACTCAAATTTCCTATATGTATATATCCTGCGCGAGTCCAGCCATGGCTGTACACATTTACTGAGGTTAGTGCCTTACACAAGGAAAGGAAGCTTTATGTATCGCATAAGAGCAGCAAGAAGCATAGCACAAACTGGCAGCTTCTAGCTTTCATAAGTAACTCCTTTCTTCTTCTCCAGAGCAATGTCTTCTGTACAGCCTATTTCACTTTCTCCCACACATGACATTTCACCTTAAGGTTCTCCATCAAAATAATGCGCAGGGTAGAAAAGTCTTCTTTTCCCAATCACAGTGGCTGCACTGTCTAAGAAACAAAATATTTTCTCTCCCTCAAACACTTGGATCATGGGTTCGAATTCCATTCGAAACAAGAATGCATGTCTGCATTTTAGTATGGCTGTGTGTCCTATGTAGAAGTACGAGGGCTGATCCCCACATCTAAGAAATCCTACTAACTGCCAGAATTATTTCGGAATAGGAACAGGCCGGAGGTCCTAATTTGCGAAGGTGGAGGTGGTGGTGGTGGTGGTGGTGGTAGTAGTAGTAGTAGTAGTAGTAGTAGTAGTGGTAGTAGTAGTAGTTGGAGGAGGAGGAGGAAAAGAAGAAGATTAAGAAGAAGAGATGTTGGTCAGTTTACCGGCTTTACTCTCCCAACCCGAGGTCCCATACATCCAGAATCTCAGTCGCTAGCCATGAACATATTAATACCAATTTCTCCTTTAAAAAATTTGCGTCTCCTAATTAGAAATTATTTTTTTGCATACCAAAGGAAAGGAAATAACAAATTCGAGATATCCAAAGTTGTGTGTTTATTATTTTGGCTCTTTTCTTAGCAGAACACTACAAACATTGTATTTTGAACTTTATATTAATTAAGTTGATATTTATGGAGTTTGCTTTATTCCTAACTTCGGATTGTCTTTATACTAATATGTAGCATGCATACTTCTTTTTACATCGTTTTTATTATAGATATTACTGGTAGTGGTCAGTATTTGTACCCTACAAATTGGTATAGGAGTTCTGTTCGTCTACGTACAGGTTCAGTGTCTAGGCCTGACTTCTGTCAACAATAATAATAATAAGTAGTGTGAAATTTTTCTTTCAGTATGCAATTGCAACTAATCTCTTGAAATAGAGAAGAGATATAGATCCAAGTCCCTAAGAGTCGCGTAGGTGTACATTACACTTCATACACTGTACAATGTCCAGCGTAATTGGTGTCTAATTAATTAATCGTTGCCACAACATTTTAGAAAATAAATTAATCAGTTATAGTTTCCCGCATGTTTGTCTTCCTCAATCACAACAAACTGGTCTATGAATTGATTGATGACAAATTGCTAATTGACTAATAACCGTACTGATAACGCAGATTTCAAATCTCGTGTCATGAAAGAGGTACATGAGTCTATGCTGAACGTGCCTTCAAGTCAGTGGCATTCCCATAGACGTGCTGACCGCCTACGCACCACACACAGCCGTCAGACACGTGTATGACAACAGAGCACCTGAACACAGTTTCCAGTGCAGTCTAGTTCTACATGAACATCTGATATTTCACTTAAACGTCTAACCTCTTCTATCTCAAAACAGTTCGAAATGTACTCTCGAAGCATAAGCTGTAGTAGAAATGTCTAGAATTGATTTAACAAAATGGATTTTCGGGACTTGATTTACTTAAGAAATTTTAGTGTCTCCTTGGGAAACCTAAATGTTCGCCCCTACGCCATGTTTATAATTCCCATAATGTACACATACACAGATATTTCTCATGAAATGACTGGACTTGTCTATGTTTCTAATCTGAATTTTTACAAATTTCAAGTTGCCTAATTCACTCTGATTCAACCACTGAGTACAAAGATTATTCATACCGTATATTTCATATCTATCCATTTAAACAAAAGTTTATAAAGTGAAATTTCATCATTTTAACAGGTCTAGAAGACTACCATATAATGTACTATCATTTATCTTATATCGTCAACAAACTAGATTGGTTTGTAACATAAATACATATATATATACCTAATAATTTTGTCTATATCGAAACATATTGGACAAACAGTCAACCTAAATATGTTGTATTTGATGATATATATAAATGATAATAAATAACGTTATACATTAAAACGGTACGTAACTCTACCTTAAAAGCTTACCATATAAATTTCTGGATCGCATTTTTGACTGTAGTAGGCCTATATGAAATTACTTTGGTTTCACAAAACATTCCGAGCGGACGCGATTTGTAATCACTGACTTGTTCATTATTATGCTATTTTACAACGCTCTTCCAACTCTATACTTTCTGCAACATAGAATTAAATGTGACAGTGATCAGTGGAAATATGGCGGACTGCTTCTGCTGGCGTTCAGCTGAGCGTACTGAGGGAAGATGTAGGAATACGTCACTGCAGACAGACAGACAGTAGGCTGGTTAAGTTTTGACTTGGATACCTTCCGAATACGGGAGCCCGGATAGCTCATTCGGTATAATGTCGAGTCTAAGAATTGGACTACCGAGGAGTGGGGGT